CTGCAGTTTTTCTATCAAAACACTTGGCGGGACCGTCGCTCGGTGACAACTGAAAAAACTTCCTTTTTTGAGTTTACCTCGCGTATCAGAAAAGTTCCGCCGCATGTTCTGAGCAGCGCCGTGCGAGAGAAGAGCTCTACGAGGCCCTCGGCAGTAACCTGGTTGACGGTTTACCGCCGGCTCCCAGTTCCGGGGCGCTGGAGAGCTAGCTTGCAAGAAAAATCTCGACGGACTTCTTGTTGACTTTTGGTCGGTTGAAAATTTCCTTCTCGAAATTCAACAATTCGTTTGAGCTCTAGTATTTTTTCCCATGATGTTCGATCTTATTCCCGCGCGCCATCTTGATCTCAGCTCGATCGGGTACCTTTTACTGCCAAAAAGCACACGGGCGGGATCGGTCGTTTCAAGTCATCTTGATACGCGATGACGGTTTTCTGAAGATAACTCGAGCTTCAGGACAGCTACAGAGCTGGTAAGCACAGCTAATCGATTCAGAATGATCAGGCGCGTTCGCCTGATGAATCCAGAGGTATGAATTCGGTCTGCTAGCCGAGCTAGGTCCGCAAACCTTTTCGTATCGTTCGGGTAATCTTGACAGACGCTCGCGGTTTTTTGTACTTAGCTCGAGCTATAGGACAGCTACAGAGGTGATACTTACAGAAACCGATTCAGATTGATCAGTCGCATTTGTCTGTTGAATCCAGAGCTCTGAACTCGGTCTGCTGCTCGATCTAGAATCGCCAAACTATTTGTTTTGTTCGAGTCATCTTGAGAAGTGCTCTCGGTTTTCTGCACTCAACTCGGGCTGGTGGGGGGGCTACAGTGCTGATTCTGACATGAATCGATTTGAAGAATCGGGAGCGTCCGCCTGTCGAATCGAGAGCTCGGAACTCGGTCTGCTGGCCGAACTAGTCCGCGAAACTATTATATTGTTCGAGTCATCATGAGAGGTGCTGTCGATTTACGCACGTAACTCGGGCTGTAGGGGGGCTGCAGGGCTGGTAATCACAGGAGTCGTTTCGTAGACATCAGACGCGTCCGCCTGTCGCATTCAGAGGTCTGAACTCGGTTTGATACTCGAGTTGGATTGACAAACTATTCGTTCTGTTAGAGTCATCTTGAGAGATGCTGTCGTTTTACGCACGTAACTCGGGCTGTAGCAGAGCTACAGAGCTCGTAAAGAAGACAATCCAGAAGCATCGGGGGCGTTTGGCTGTTGCATCGAGAGATCTGAAATCGCTTGGGCTGAAAACTATTCGTTCTCTGCATTTTTTCCACATTATATATTGTCAGGAAGCTCTACGAGTCCCCCGGCGGTAAGAAAGGTTGACGGTTCACCGCCGGCGCCCAGTTTCAAGCGTGCTCGAGGCTGTCAAGCGCGCTCGAGTCTGCCAAACAGCAGCGCTTCAGGAGCCGGCATCTCCGCGCACGTCCAAGAGGTGCACCTGGCCGTGCGCTCACAGCGTGTGGAGCAGTCTGAGGCGAGCACAGGGGCACGCGCGGCGCCGAGGGGGCGCCCCAGGTCGCTTGCGCGAAGAGATCCGTGCGCGCGCGTCTCTGGCTTGGCTATGCGGGTTTTGAACAACAGCAGGTTTCCCGGAGAGCTCGCTGAGAGCTGCAGGGTTTAAGATTAGAAGCCGGACGGTGGTTGTGCCCGCCAGGAGCTCCTTCACAGCGGTCCACGTTCCCCGCCGCGCCTCGCCCGGCCCGGCCACGTGTCCGGGAGAGCTCCCAGCAGGCTTCCACGCGTGCCTGCACGCCAGCGCTTCAGGAACGCTGTAGGGGGGCCCCCCAGAGCGCCAGGCGTTACGAAAGCGTGTCGGGGCTCGCAAGGAAAGCTTTCTGGTGTGTGTGCCTTTTGCTCTCCGGATTTTTCCCGGAGAGCTCGCTGAGAGCTAAAGGGTTTAAGATTAGAAGCCGGACGGTGGTGGTGCCCGCCAGGAGCTCCTCCACGGCGGTCCGCAGGCCTCGCAGAAACTCCGGCGGCCCGGCAGCGCGTCCGGGAGAGCTTCCGGCAAGCTTCCACGCGTGCCTGCATGCGTGCAGGCACGCATGGGAGCGATTCTGGCAGCGCTTCCGCAGCGCTCCAGGGGGCCCCCAGAGCTCTCCAGGAAGATTTCCCGTCCCCAAGATTCTCTTTGCTCTCCGGGTTTTGGGCGCTGCCAAGTGGACGCTACCAAGTAACTCGTAGAGCTTCGCTTGGCAAGTACCTCGTAGAGCTCTTCGGCAGCGATGAGCTAGAGGAATTCCGGCGCGGGGTGGAGCTAGTTGGTCGACCCGGCCCGGGCGCAAATGCCTCGTAGAGCTCTTCGGCATCGATGAGCTAGAGGAATTCCGGCGCGGGATGGAGCTAGTTGGTCGACCCGGCCCGGGCGGACGAATACCTCGTAGAGCTCTTCGGCATCGATGAGCTAGAGGAATTCCGGCGCGGGGTGGAGCTAGTTGGCCAACCCGGCCAGAAAGGACAAAGTGAATACTTTTAGTTGGTTTTGTGAAAAATTGAAGAATATTTGACAAGTCATTTTCAGAAAGCAGATTTTTCGCACCTGTAAACGAATATGAGCCTCTCTCTCTTAATATGAGCTCTCTAGGCGCACTTTTACTATCAAAACACTTGACGGAACCATCTTCATGTCGACACGAAAAAAAATCAATTTTTCTCTTTTTCGAGAAATACTTCCAGAAGCTCTCTCTTTCGACTCTGAGCACTCCTACGCGTGAAAGGAGCTCTACGAGGTTCCCGGCGGTGACCAGGTTGACGGTTCACCGCCGGCGCCAGTATATGACTTTTGGTCGGTTTTGCGAAAATTTGAAAGATATTTAACCATTTATTTTGAGAAAGCAGATTTTTGCGCGTCGCATTGGCATATAAACTCCTATGTGACAGCAGCTCAGCTCTACCGATGTATTTGCTTGAGAGTTGACTTCCTGGAACTGAGCGAATATGAACATCGGAAAAATATCTCGTAGAGCTCTCCGGCATCGATGAGCTAGAGGAATTCGGGCGCGGGCTGGAGCTAGTTGGCCGACCCGGCCCCGACGGACAATGTGCGAACTTTGGGTCGGTTGGACGAACTTTGTGAGAGATTTGAAGATTCGTTTAAAGAGCTGGTATTTTTCGCACCTGTAGTTCGTTTTTTCGCGTCTGCCAATGAATTCTCAGGTCCGTAGCTGCAGTATTACTATCCAAACATTTGGCGGAACCGATTTTCGATAAAAACCAACAACAGTTTTTTGTCGAGTTTTTCAGCTACTTACTTTTTCGAGTTTTCAGCTCGCGTATCAGAAAAGCTCCTGCCACGTGTTCTAAGCAGCGCCGTGCGAGAAATGAGCTCTACGAGGCTCGCGGCGGTAACCTGGTTGACGGTTTACCGCCGGCTCCCAGTCGAAAATGAAGATTTTCAAAAAATTTCGATTTTTTGACTTTATTCCGATTCTGAGCACTCTTACCAGTGTAAGAAGCTCTACGAGGTTCCCGGCGGTGACTAGGTTGACGGTTCACCGCCGGCGCCAGTTATTGCTGGAAGCTTAAGAGTAATTCCGGGGCGCTGGAGAGCTAGTTGGCAAGAAAAATCTCGACGGACCTTTCGCTGACTCTTGGTCGGTTGAAAATTTTGTTCTCGAAATTCAACCATTCGTTAGAGCTCTAGTATTTTTCCCGTGATATCCGATCTTATTCCCGCTCGCCATTTTGATCTCAGCTCGATCGGGTACCTTTTACTGCCAAAAAGCGTCCAGGCGGGATCGGCCGTTTCGAGTCATCTTGATACGCGGTGACGGTTTTCTCAAGATAACTCGAGCTTCAGGACAGCTACAGAGCTGGTAAGCACAGCTAATCGATTCAGAATGATCAGGCGCGTTCGCCTGTTGAATCCAGAGGTCTGAACTCGGTCTGCTAGCCGAGCTAGGTCCGCAAACCTATTCGTATTATTCGAGTCATCTTGACAGACGCTCTTGGTTTTCTGTATTTAACTCGAGCTACAGGACAGGTGCAGAGCTGATACGTACATAATCTGATTCAGAATCATCAGTCGCATTTGTCTGTTGAATCCAGAGGTCTGAACTCGGTCTGCTGCCCGATCTAGAATCGCGAAAATATTCGTATTGTTCGAGTCATCTTGAGAGATGCTGTCGGTTATCTGCACTTAACTCGGGCTGTAAGGGGGCTGCGTGGCTGGTAATCACTGGAATCGATTCGGAGAGATCAGGCGCGTTCGGATTTCGAATCGAGAGCTCCGAACTCTGTCTGCTGCCCGAACTAGGTCCGCGAAGCTATTCGTATTGTTCGAGTCATCCTGAGAGGTGCTGTCGGGCTCCTGCACTTAACTCCGGCCGTAGGGGGGCTACAGGGCTGGTAATCACAGAAATCGATTCAGAGACATCAGACGCGTCGCCTGTCGCATGCAGAGGTCTGAACTCGGTCTGATACTCGAGCTAGGTTTGCCAAACTTTTGGTTTTGATCGAGTCATCTTGAGAGGTGCTGTCGATTCACGCACGTCAGTCGGGCTGTAGGAGAGCTGCAGAGCTCGTACAGAAGACAATCCAGAAGCATAGGGGGCGTTCGGCTGTTGCATCCGAGAGGTCTGAAATTGCTTGGGCTGAAAAAATAGTTTTTTCGGTGTATTTTTTTTCGACATTATATGTTGTCAGGAAGCTCTACGAGTCCCCCGGCGGTAACAAAGGTTGACTCAAGGCTCAAGAAAATCTCGGCTCAAGGCGCTTGACATTTGATCCCCTCTGCCTGGGTAACCTCCAGTGGGATCGAGTGCGCGTCAGGGAGTCACACGTTTGTCGCCTAGAGTGATATTGCACTGCCATTCAGTTGACACGTTTGATCGCCTTGAGTGGTCTTCAATTGATTTGTTTCACACGTTTGTCGCCTAGAGTGATATTGCGCTGCCATTCGTTTGACACGTTTGATCGCCTTGAGTTGTCTTCAATTGATTTGTTTTGCTGGGTGCTTCCGAGGCAGTCTCTGCAATCGTTCGTTATGCCACGCGTGCGGAGTGCAAGTGCTCGCATTATGCGTCGGGCGCTGGCTGTTCAAAACGGATACTGTGTGCATTTACCTATTCGTTTGCCTCTGGATGGTTTGGTGCCACCTACGTGTCGCCCACCACCAGGGCTGGAGCGGGCAACTGCCGATTTGGTTCTAGATTATCTCTTGTTGCGCGATCCACCTGTTGTTAAACGCAGTTTGGAGGAGGAGGAGGAGGCTGACATTAAGACTGTTTCGGAGAGTCTTTCTTGCCGTATGCAGGCTTCTGAATCGCTGGTTGATGTAGATATTGGAGTGCAGGCTTCTGAATCGCTGGTTGATGTTGGAGTGCAGACGGTTGATGTTGCGGACTTTCATTGTGAAGGCGGCTGTCAGACAGATAGTGTCGTTGGGATGGAGGGAGGAGCTTCAGGAGTTCTTCTTGGGACAGTGACTGTGGCGGCGGAGGAGGAGCTGGAGGCACCCTCGAGTGCGGAGTCTTCTCCGAACGTGCAGTCTGATTCCGATAGCCGCGCCTTGTCAGGAGCGTCCCAGGGGTGTCTGAATCGTCCCGTCACGCTCAATGAGGTATCGAAGGAGTCGCGCCAGAGGACTCGAGGGAGAGATCGTGACAAGGTCAAGGGGACATCGACGTGCTCTCAGGCCACCATTGCCGATGTCAAAGCGTGGATTGACGCTGTTGCCAGCATCAACGAGTTGAATGCGATCCAGTATTTAAAGAACGGAATGGATTTGTTTGATAAGCTGGTGACAGAACGTGGGTTCCCTACAAAGAAGGCCCAAAAAGATTATGCTCGGAAACTGTATGAGATGCTCCAGAATGTGCAAGCGACGCTGGAGGATCTTCTAGGATTCTTCGAGGTGCACAGGTTCTTGACAGGACAAATGAACCGCGCCGAGATGGCCAAGTTTCTTGAGGTTTCCAAGTGCAGCGATTACCGAATAATATTCTTCGGACGCCCGAGGAGTTTCGACAAGTTGGGATGAAGCTATTCGTGCGCACTTGTATGCAGCTTTCGGTTTAGAACAGCGAAGGCTGTAATGCTTGTATCTCACCTGTTCTTGTTTTCCTCACTTTATCTCTCTGTTTGACCTCTCGCTGGAGCCATGATGGCTCTACGGCCCGTTGTGGGCCCCACTGAGCGCTTCAGGTGTGTAAAGGGCAGGGGCCCTTCATCTTCTTCAGGTGACGTTCTTCCACGGGTTGTTTCCCCGTCTAATTCGTTGATTACTTCACACATGTGACGTTGAGCATACGCCTCTTGTCATACGGCGGGTTGAACATGCGTATTTCGGACTGGTTTGATGTGAATAAGAGTTTGTGCTCACTCACGCGTTGCCTGTTTGGATACGTCCGCTCCTTGCTCCGACTAGGCTGGAAAGCCTGCACAGTCGACCGCAAAGTCCGCAAAAAACAAAGGTTGACGGTTTACCGCCGGCGCCCAGTGGACGCTCCCAAGTACCTCGTAGAGCTTCGGCATCGATGATCTAGAGGAATTCCGGCGCGGGGTGGAGCTAGTTGATCGACCCGGCTAGAAAGGAGAATGTGACAACTTTGGCTCGGTTTTGCTAAGATTCGAAAGATATTTGACCATTTATTTTAAGAAAGCAGATTTTTAGCATCTCTAGTGGGTTATGCCCCGCTCGCCAGTCAAATTCTTAGGTCCGTAGGTGCAGTATTACTATCAAAACACTTGGAGCAACCAACGTTGGATAAAAACAGAAAAACAAGATGTTTCGAGTTGTTCGTTTCTCGCTCCAGGAGCTTTCTTCCTCTGTGCCTCGTAAAGCTCTGATGGTAGAAGAGCTAGAGGAATTCGGCGACAGGGTGGAGCTAGTTGGCGAAATGTCGAAAAGGGACGCGATCATACCTTCCGCGGCCTGGCTCAGCCGATTTTGCAGTTCTAACAATTCGTTTGGGCTGCTATTTGCGCAGAGGGAAGCTTGGCATTGCAGAAGTTACCTCACAAATCCTTAGTTCATTCCGCCGAAAAATTCTCCCGAGCGAAGCCAGGGACCGACTTCACGTTGGCAGTCCAAAAATACCTCGTGGAGCTCTTCGGCATCGATGAGCTCGAGGAACTCCTGCGCGGGGTGGAGCTAGTTGGCCGACCCAACCAAAAGAGACAATGTGATAACCTTGGGTCGGTTTTGCTTTGATTTGAAAGATATTTGACAATTCATCTGAGAACCGGTATTTTTCTCACGTGTAGTGGGTTATGCCGCGACGATCGCCGTGTAAGAGAAGAGCTCTACGATATTCCCGGCTCTTGGAGGTATGGAAGCAACTCCTTGCACAATACGACAAAACTAAGGTCTATGATTACTTTGTGGTGTCTTGGAAGGGCCCTCCTAATGGACCTCGAGGCTCCCCTGAGGCTCGAGAGAAGGCCGATGCTGAGGCGGTCGACATCGCGACCAACCCTCTGCACCCCAAGTACGACCCCAAAGAGTCCGCCAAGCTTGCAATACGTTATGCTATGATCCAGGAACGTGCGACTGTGTGGGATATATCCTCAGAGGGTTTTGCTGCTGAGTTCAAGGGTGACTCATTACTTATCTGCTCCTGGCTACAGGGGAAATGGAGATGTGAGAATCGTGGCTACTGCAAGAGGACAGCTGCCATGATTGATTGTACCTTTGAGCTCGCTGCGTGTTTCAATCTGAGGCCTGCTGCCTTGGGACGTGAGATATGGAGACATGAATTCAGGGAGGACAATACACGAGCGGATGAATTGACGCATGAGGCCAGATGTGGCCGCACATTTTACAGAACTCATTGTTATCTATATCCATTCGAAACTTATCTCTTACCGTTCGCTATCAGGGGAGGCCTTGATGGCGGGGTTGACCAGCAAGGATCAGGATGTGGTTTCTGGCGTCAGATCGGCTGAATCAATACTCAGTGCAATCCCAGTGAGATAGGCATCGCTTCCGCGAGAACCGTGGGCCCCTTCCCTGCTGGGCATGAGTTTGCTGTTTCTACTGCCGTGCCCCTCGTTTGGAGGGATGTGGCCGAGGCCGCGTGGCTCCTTGAAGGAGCTACAGTCACAGAATGTGAATTGTCGGCAGCCGAAGCGCTGCTCAGCGCTGCCCGTGTGCTTCTGCGGGACCTGTCTTCGCCCAGCTGCACTCAGCTGGGAACGCGAGTCCAAACAAACAAAACCAGGTTGACGGTTTACCGCCGGTTCCCAGTAACTCGTAGAGCTTCCTTTAGCAAGTTATTGCTGGAAGCTGAAGAGTAATTCCGGGCGCTGGAGAGCTAGCTGGCAAGAAAAATCTCGACGGAACTTAACTCGTGGAGCTTCCCTTAGCAAGTTAGTGCTGGGAGCTTAAGAGTAATTCTGGGGCGCTGGAGAGCTAGTTGGCAAGAAAAATCTCGATGGTCGGTTGAAAATTTTGCTCTCGAAATTGAACCATTCGTTAGAGCTCTAGTATGTTTTCCCGTGATATTCGATCTTATTCCCGCTCGCCATCTTGATCTCAGCTCGATCGGGTACCTTTGACTGCCGCAAGCAGGCAGGGGGGAGCGGCCGTTTCAAGTCATCTTGACACGCGATGACGGTTTTCTTAACATAACTCGAGCTTTAGGACAGCTACAGAGCTGGTTAGCACAGCTAATCAATTCAGAACGATTAGGCGCGTTCGCCTGTTGAATCTAGAGGTCTAAACTCGGTCTGCTAGCCGAGCTAGGTCCGCAAACCTCTTCGTATTATTCGAGTCATCTTGACAGACGCTCTCTGTTTTCTGTACTTAACTCGAGATATAGGATAGCTACAGAGCTGATACTCACATAAACCGATTCAGAATCATCAGTCGCGTTCGTCTGTTGAATCCAGAGCTCTGAAATCGGTCTGCTGCTCGATCTAGAATCGCGAAACTACTCGTATTGTTCGAGTTATCTTGAGAGGTGCTCTCGGTTTTCTGTACTTAACTCGGGCTGGGGGGGGGGGGGGCTACGGTGCTGGTAGTCACAGGAATCGATTTGAAGACATCATGCGCGTCCGCCTGTCGAATCGAGAGCTCGGAACTCGGTAAGGAAGGTTGACGGTTTACCGCCGGTGCCCAGTTTGGTGACTTTTGGTCGGGTGAAAATTGTGTTTTCGAAATTCAACCATTCGTTAGAGCTCTAGTATTTTTTCCCGTGATATTCGATCTTATTCCCGCTCGCCATCTTGATTCCAACTCAATCGGGTACCTTTTACTGCCAAAAAGCAGGCAGGCGGGATCGGCCGTTTCAAGTCATCTTGATACGCGATGACGGTTTTCTGGACATAACTCGAGCTTTAGGACAGCTACAGAGCTGGTAAGCACACTTTATCGATTCAGAATGATCAGGCGCGTTCGCCTGTTGCATCCAGAGGTCTGAACTCGCTCTGCTATCCGAGCTAGGTCCGCAAACCTGTTCGTATTATTCGAGTCATCTTGACAGACGCTCTCGGTTTTCTGTACTTCACTCGAGCTGTAGAACAGCTATAGAGCTGATACTTACAGGAACCGATTGAGAATCATCAGTCGCATTTGTCTGTTGAATCCAGAGCTCTGAACTCGATCTGCTGCCCGATCTAGAATCGCGAAACTATTCGTATTGTTCGAGTCATCTTGAGAAGTGCTCTCGGTTTTCTGCACTCAACTCGGGCTGGGGGGGGGCTACAGTGCTGGTGGTCACAGGAATCGATTTGAAGTTACCAGGCGCGTCCGTCTGTCGAATCGAGAGCTCGGAACTCGGTCTGCTGCCCGAACTAGATCCGCGAAACTATTGTATTGTTCGAGTCATCCTGAGAGGTGCTGTCGGTTTTCTACACTTAACTTAACTCGGGCTGTAGGGGGGCTGCAGGGCTGGTAATGACAGGAGTCGATTCGCAGACATCAGACGCGTCGGCCTGTCGCATTCAGAGGTCTGAACTCGGTTTGATACTCGAGCTGGGTTGCCGAACTATTCGTTTTGTTAGAGTCATCTTGAGAGCTGCTGTCGATTTACGCACGTAACTCGGGCTGTAGGAGAGCTAGAGAGCTCGCAAAGAAGACAATCCAGAAGCATCGGGGGCGTTCGGCTGTTGCATCGAGAGGTCTGAAATCGCTTGGGCTGAAAAACTATTCGTTCTCTGCATTTTTTCCACATTATATATTGTCAGGAAGCTCTACGAGTCCCCCGGCGGTAAGGAAGGTTGACGGTTTACCGCCGGTGCCCAGTTTGGTGACTTTTGGTCGGGTGAAAATTGTGTGTTCATCGAGAGGTCTGAAATCGCTTGGGCAAAAAATATTCGTTCTTTCATTCCACATTATATATTTCAGGAAGTTTCAAGTCATCTTGATACGCGATGACGGTTTTCGGGACATAACTCGAGCTTTAGCTGTCAGGGTTCGAGACGTCAGGGTTCGAGACGTCAGGGTTCGACGTCGAACAGGGCCCACGTCAGGGCGCACACACAGGCTTGCCTCAAGCCCCCCTCTCGTGCGGTGCGTGTTTGACGTATCGCGGGGGCTGTGTTCACATTGATTCCTCGCTCTCGTCCTTGATATCAAGATATCGTGGGGATCGCAGGAAGATCAGGATTTGTCTGGATTTTACAAAAGACCACTGTGGGCGGTTGGATTGAAAACGGACTCGCAGGGAGCATATATTATACCGTCAGAAGACGATCAGAGTGAATATTTCACGTCAGCTGACTTTGGTGTGGATAGTGACCCACATCCGTGTGACTGGTTGAAAGACACATCAGCTACTGTGCCGCGATTAACGACGCAGGAGAAGAGGGAAGATCAGATAGCACTTGAGTTGGAAATTTCTCCACCAGAGGCATTTGTTCAGCAGGAGGCGTACGATTTCAAGAAGATTGGGCAATCAGATAGATATCAGGCTGCACTTCACACATTGCGTACAGTCAAAGAGAGGAATAAACGACGTTCGCCAGCAATCATGGCGGATGACAAAGCAGAAGATAGCAAAATGGGAGGGAATGCGAGTAGTGAATGGTTGAGAGAGGTGAGGGCGAAAGGGGAGGGCAAAGGTTCCAGTGCTTCGAGTGGTCTGGCCGCGGCTTCCAGTGCTGCTGTCCAGGCGCCTCATTTAGCTACAGCCCGAGTCCCCAATGCTACGAGTGGTCTGGCCGTGGCCCAAAGTGCTGCTGTCCAGGCGCCTCAACCAGCTACAATGACGCCCGAGGAAATGTTCAGACAGATTTTGAAAGGCCAGAGTGAAGTAACTGCGACGGTTAGTGAGTTCAAAACATCGGTTG